ACTTTTCACAGAGGGCTCCAAAACTGAGAACGGCACGGGCAGCGCCTTCTGTAGACTAAAAAATGGAGTTGTAACATTCGAGTGGAAAAGAAAATTAGGCTCGAACAACTCGGTATACCAAGCAGAGCTTTTAGCTATCAGTGCTGCAATTAGATATGCGAATACATGTCAACAGGAGAAATTCTCCATACTCAGTGATTCGGCATCAAGTCTGGCGGCTATCTCAAGTCAAAACAGCCGGAGTCCATTGGTATACAGAATTCAGAAACAGCTTCTGACAATGCCTATTTCGCAAAGACCCACTTTAAAATGCGTTCCCGCTCACACAGGGATTCAAGGCAATGAAGCCGCTGACCTACTGGCCAAGCAGGCAGCCAACTGCACGGATATATTAGGAAGACCAACTAAACTTCCTTGGTCTCATATTAAGCGAACAACTTTGACAAGTCTGCTACAAAATTGGCAAAGTAGATGGACAGAGGCAGAGGTAGGACGAAGGACATTTCGCTTACTGCCAAAAGTTAACATGGAAATAAAGACCCACTGTGCTAGCCTAAGACAGTTCTTGACAGGTCATGGACCATTCCCAGTATACCTGAACAGATTCAGACTTAGGGATACTCCTTTCTGCGAATGCGGAGAGGAAGGCGACACGGACCATTATTACTTCCATTGTGTACATACAAGAACCTGGCACTTGAAGAAACCAGCGGACTGTGCCTGGGCAATGTGGACGACTAACACACTCAAAAAACAGAATAGCCCTTGATAAAATAGAGAAAATCTCAGGACACTGCCTAAGCAGAACAACCGTGGATAATATTATAATGTTTCAAAAGTTCAGAACTTAAAGCAGATAACCAGAATAACGCTTAGTGCCTTGCAGTTAACAATATGTAAAAACTGTTATTAGTATATAATATTCAACCTTGTTACTCTGGAGTCTTCCCCGCCGTGATGGTATATAATTCCGTTTGGTTCATGTCCGTGGTCGGAAGCCATCATAGCGGTGCACTCACTCACTCACTAGTAGTTCATTGATTCGTATGTTCTAGTTCCGCGAACAGGCTGGTTGCATAAACGTTTTCGTCGATTACCCCATGTGTAACGTGTATACGAGTCAGTTTCCTTAGAAAGTCCTCCCCGAAGGCATCCCTTCCTCGAGCGCTTTGATGTAATCAAATAAACCAAATCAAATCCTCAGTTTGACCAAAGAAAATGTTTGGATATTTTCTGGATTATCGACACTGTTTTGATACGGCTACAGCTAACGTTTTACTTTTCTCATTCAGTCATGAAATATTTTTAAAAAAAATTCAAACTGATATATATAAATAATTTGTTTAAATTTCATTTTAGGTAATAAGTGGAGTCTAGAGACTCCCGAATTGAAATATATCAAGTGATTACACCATGGCAATAATTTTGAATACTTTTATGTATTGAAACTTTTGATTATAATACTGCTATCATTCGTTTTTTGTATGTTACAAAAACACAACTGCAAAAGTACGGCAAATTAACCTAATATAGATCGTTAGCGCCTCCTGTTTGTTCATTGATAAATCCTGTTTGAATGCAATTTTTCAACTCAAAAGTTACAGTGCAAAGGTAGAGCCCAGTAAAGGTATATTTTATAATTTAATTAAGAAAGATATCTGAGGGGAAAAAAAAGCTAAAAACTCCTTTTATATTTTTGAAGAAAGTCTGACTTTAAAGTACAAATGTACATTTAAAACACGTATATTTCTTACAACCTAATTTCTAAAATTTTTCATAAGTACAGTATTGTAACAAATAGAATGATGGAATACGCCTAATTCTGTATTTATACGAGACATTTTTAAGCGAATTTGTTTTTACACGCATTCAAAATAAATATTTCATTTTTTCATGCATGTCATTTTAATTTAACATGAAGGGTCCAAATTAATATCTGAAAATCATTTTCCCCCCTCAATTCTAAGAAAAACAATTTTTATTTGTGGCATACACAAATAGCCTGCATGACAACTATCGGAGAAGAATGAAGTACATCCCCAATAAAACAAGTGACTAAATGTATTAATTTTTACTCCTTTGTAGGAAGTAAAAAGGAGTATTCCAATCGCGCAAAATTTTAGGTATCGTATTTCAACAGAAATATTAATTTTGACCATTTACAAACCCATTTAGATGATTTTTTTTAAGGATAAAGGGCTCCTTTTTCCATGAAGGATTGTAAAATAGCTTTAAGATGGATGCAAAAGGGATTTTTTCGTGACGTTTGTACGTGCGTATGTACGTGTGTATCTCGAAAACTTAAAAATTATTAGTCGCAGAGCATTAAAATTTTATATATTGGACTGGTATCTTTATATTGGACTTTATATCTAGATGTGCATAGCATCTCTTTTAAATCATTTAATGATGAAATTGACCAGGACATTTAATTTCTCGATTTTAAATTTTTGATTCTATTTTTAACTTACTTTGAGGAATTGTTTAATTGAGTTAGAATAATTCGAGGAAACAAGTTTAAATGAAGTGCAGCAAAAATACATAAGTGCTTCAAATGACGAAAATTGGCAGTGTCATATTTAAAAAAAGAATAATTTTGAACAAATAACGAAATTTAAAGCTCTCTCCCGTTTCCTATAATTATGTTTGGGAAATTTTTATACTCGTACGGAGAAAATTAAAATTACAATAAGTTTTTCTGCAGTCAAGGCGAAAAAATTGGCCTTGATATTTAATTTCAAAATTTTCAATTTTTGATGTCATTTTCAACTTGCCTTGGCAAATCGGTTAATAAAATCAGAATAATTCAAGGAAAAATATGTAAATGAAGTGCAGTAAAAAATGTGTATAATTTAGTAGGTCGTACAAGGAAATCATGCGATACACACATAAGAATATTTCTTTGGTTTCCAAGTTGTCTATATTAGAACTTGGAATTAAACCGACGTTTTATATCTTCGGAAGACATTTACTATGTAGCTCTAAATCAAAATACGAAAATGAAGATTAATAACTGAATTCTTTCCTAAAACCGGTGAAAACTTAGCACCAGACGAGACCTGAACTGATTTTGCTCTAGAAATCATAAAAAGAATTTCATTAATGGAGGACGAAGACGATGTCCACAACATTTCTTGTGATAGCAGTGATATTGTAGTCTTGCTGAAACTTAAGCGCCATTTATGGTCAAAAAGCAAAAATGAATATAATTGCGTTATGTGCAAAACAAACTTTTGTTTATTTGTTCATGAAGAATTTTTTTCATTTCATATGCAAATTCTCTAAAGAAATTTCTATACATATTTGTCTGCATTTTTTTAAATATGCTTAAGACGAATATTTTCAGAATGTTTTTCGTATTATATTTACAGATTATTTAAATTCGGAATCAATCTTCTTTACTTACGTACATGCAATGTCTTTTTATTTATGCATTTTCTTCAGAAACATAATTGTGGTGAAAAAAATAGAATTAGGTGTATTTGTTATGTAAGTAAACTGCGTGTCCATGTTCTTGTTTTCGAGTTTATATTTCATGGAGGGATGGTATCAGAACCTCTAAGAGGTTGGGCTTCTACTTCGCATTCCAAGTTTGAGGAAATCTCCTCTACCACCAAATCACTTTCGGCTCGCCATATATATATCTGGAGTACCGGCACCCAACAATGATACTATACATTTACAAAGCTTCTTCATGCCTTCACCGGGATTCTTCGTGTTTCGGTGGAGCAGTCAGAGTCACTTCTGGGCGGCACTGGACGTTCATCCAAAGTACATTTTTTTAAAAACTCGCTCCATCTTAAATATAATTCGGTAACTAAAAAGTTTAAACTAATTTAAAGTACTTTCAGGAAGAATATTTAAGTGCCGTTTATTCTGGTGTATAACTCGCACCTATAATTTCAAATGACATTTTTTAATTTTTAGGTATATTCGCCGTATAACATGCATCCTTTATGAAAAAACCTGAAATATACATGTGCGATGCTTTTATTGTTTTCAAATCTATTCGAAGATTTTTCCTAGGCTTTCGAAGAATGGCATATTGAATTTACAAATGATAAGGAGAACAATGTGTGTGCGATTGAGGTGAAAGACGCAAAACCGTTTGCATAAAAGAACAGGTCACGAAAAATATCACCTCACCGTAGTGCTTTCCCTTAGAGAGCGGTACAAAAAATAAAACCCATGGTTATTTTTAAAAGAAGGATAGTGATAAAAATGTAATTTCCCAAATGATGTTTTCATTCATGTTCACGAGGAAGGCTGAATGGAACTTATGGATAAGAAATGTTTGGCAAAAGTTGCTTAAAGAATCCTGAAAGTTTGTTAGTTTGGAACATGTTTAAATCCCATCTAACGCATAATACAAAGAAATTACTGAAAGAGTGTAATACAGACATCGCAAGCGGACTTGACAGATTATTTCGGAAAAATTAACGCCATTAGTTGAGCCTTTAAATGTGTGTATCAATAAAACATTCAAAGGAAATTTAAAACGATTGTGAAATACGTAGATTTTAGAAAGCGAAAAAACATTTACGAAAGGAGGCAAAAGTATCGTCCAGTCTAGAAACAGTGTGTGAGTGGATAACAAAAGCATCGAATAAAATTAATCCGACGATATTCAAAAGGCATTTAAAAAATATAATATTTCTAAGAATCTGACGTAACGGAAGATGATTGCAGATCAGATTAACAGTGAGGGTGAAGATGAAACAGCAAACAGTGTGCCTAATTACTGTATTTAAGTTTCTTTTTAATAAATTAATTTATGTTTTTCTTTACTGAAAATTAAATATGCTCTTTACACAAATCACTTTACACAAATCAATCCACTTAATATTTTGGTAAAGCTCATAAAAAAAATTAATCAAAGCAAAAATGTTAAATACATTGCCGAAGAAGAGTTATTTTTTATGTAACGTATTTGTCTTGTTTCTGAGTGGGAAATAGTGTTTTGTGTAATTCCATTGAAAAAAGACAAAAGGAAAACTGCATCACAGCTGCAAATAACTTTATGAGATACACTTGTTGATATGGGGTTAAGCATAACAATACTGATCTTTAACGCTACAAGATAAAAGGATGTGACAAAAACATTTGAGCAGAATACTACACTTATGAACAAAAAACGCGAACAGAAACACACGAGGCAATAAACTTCATGAGTGCAGAGCTGTAATATTTTTTTTCAATCTCATTTTTTTCATTTTTTTCATATTTTTCTTTTTAGAACAAACACATTGCCCATCTAACAATTATTAGTGACCTTTGTGAAAAAGAGTTTGGACATTTTAATGATATCATCAAAGGCTTTACAATATTATTTACAATATTCTTGTTATTGCATTACACTATATATATATATATATATGTATGTGTGTGTGTGTGTGTGTGTGTGTGTGTGTGTGTATGCATGCATTGCTGGTTTATTGACTGGTTATTGACTATTAAAAAGAGATTTGTTTGAAGATTGAAATATGAGTTTAATTATGCATGTGTAGGTATTATATAAAATTTAGATGACCTTAATAATGTACTATTGCTGCATAATTTTTATAATAGATTTTATGATTTTTGAATTAAAAATCTTAATTTTTTATATATATTAGACAGAAATTTTCAACTTAATCGATTATAAACCGTTCGAAATAAATATTCTTGAGAATTGTACTCACTGAAATTTTAATCTTAATGTATTGTTTTGGTTTAACAGATGCGCGAGGTATATTTAATTGTAACCCGTGTTATTTAATATTCTGTTTTAAATTTAAATTTCAGATATAAATTTAAACGTAAATACTTATTTTTCATATAAAAAAAGTTTGCGCCAAGAACATTGCTTTTTATATGCAAGATAAATGGCAAAATAATATTCCCCAGGAATGAATAAAATTTTTCAAATCCAGAATCAATACAACATAATTCTTCGTGAAAAATTAAGTTTCAGTTTATTTAAAATGATTTTAATTTGCACTATCTAAAAAAAGTAAAATATGGCTTTATCAAATAAAGACACCGGGCACTTATTTAATCTAAGATAGGAAAAATACAATGAAAATTTGGAAATTTATTTTTAACTTTTATTTTTTCTCACAATTTTCAAACAAGAATGTGTCAATACAGATTAGTTTACTAAATATCATTTGAAAGATCTTAAATTTTTTTCAAATAATTTATTCTTACACCTTTAAATGGAAATCATATTTGAAACGATATTTAATTTTAAATTAATTTTATCTAAGAATGATTTCAAATCGTTAACTAAGCATCAAAATTGCATTAAATGCATCCATTAAGTTTCTTTAATCTTTAAAAATTAACACTGGTTAAGGAGCATCGATCAAGCATCTTTAATCATGTTCCAGTTTAGAACAGTATTTCGTGTTTGCTTATAAAGTTGTTATTTAAGTAATGAAAGATTGCATTTTACTGGCAGTGAAAATGGCACGAATGAACTTAATTCTTAATTTCTTTACATTACAGCGGATCATGTTCACAATACTTTTATAGCACATTGCAGTCAATAAATAAAACAATTCTCAAAACGTATATAGAAACATGTAAACAAAAATTGCCAAACTCTTTTGCTGAAGGCGCACTAAACGAGACCTTCTACAGTGGTCGTATGTGGTACTTCAAACTGGCAAGTGGTAAGTGTTATAGTAATAATCATAACAGTTTCTTCACACTAATGATGGTTGGGGGATTTGGTGTGCAGAGCACTAGACTCCCTAAAGTGGTCTTTCTATGATAGAGCAACACAAAAAACGTTTTAACAAACAGACGGTGCGCAATCAACAAAGCTCGAGCATTTCAATTGATCGAGCGCCTTGACAAAAACGGGAAGCAACACCAATCTATGGAGTACTGACAAATAGCTTCAAATCACAGAAATAGTTCTCTGTTCTTCGTTTTACAGTCATTATGTATCATGTAATATAATCAAATTCATAAAACACATCAGTCACTGATCAAATTTCACGCCGCTCCAGCTTGTGTGTCCATTTACTTTTCGACTTTTTCGATATGCACTGGGTTTGGATTGGGAGTTCATTTTAACTTTCTGTTTTATAATGTTATGAATGAATTTTTCATTGATCGTAGCATGAAAACAAGTCTGATATGCCGTCCTAAGAATTCTGTTCGAGCCTTATGTTTTCATATCCACTAGATGGCACTGGTATCGGGGCACCGGCCAATAATGATGATGATGTTTATACTGCACACCTTCATATGGTTTTACACAGACATCGGACAATCTGAAATAAAGAAAAAAATTATCAAATACTATGCGTATTACATCGATATTATAATAATATTATGAACTGTTTCGTTATAGAGTAACGTTACTCAAGTCATACTACCGCTTAAGTTGTACTTTCTAAACATTAATCGTAATATCACGCCAATTGCGCCTTTTCCGGGAAAATGAATTACTCCCTAGTCAACCAAATTCTTTCACGTTGTGAAAAGGAAAAAATATCTTTGTGTTCGTTGTTGTAATTAATTGCATAAATAAATTAACTGTGAAAAAGAAAGTTTTACTATAAATGTTTAATTTAAAACGTAGTACGAATTAAGCTGTAGGTAGTATGACTTAGAATGCTGGTTGTCTAAGCATAAATTTCATTAATTTTATCCAAGAGAGTAGACTGTATGAAGTTTTATTCTAATAAATATCAGCAACGATAACACAGGATATTATTACCATACATAATTATTTTTTCATAGATGTTACGATTTATACTTATTTTTTCTTAGGGGGTATACTTACTTACTCAACCTTACCCTATAACATATAATGTAATATGTAATGCAATCGTAATAGTGTCATATGTATCATAATAAACAATTTAATATGTAATGCAATCGTAATAGTGTCTGCCGTATGTATCATATTATATAATGTAATCGTAATAGTGTCATATGTATCATAATATATAATGTAATCGTAATAGTGCCATATGTAGCATAATATATAATGTAATCGTAATAGTGCCATATGTATCATAATATATTATGTAATCGTAATAGTGCCATATGTATCATAATATATAATGTAATATGTAATGTAATTGTAATAGTGTCATATGTATCATAATATGTAATGTAGTATGTATTGATTAATAAGCAACATGACTCCCAATGCAAAGCCCAACTGAAACAATGTGAATGCAAACTGTATAATAGTATTATGCATAACGATGTAGGCAGTGAATCGAATAACGGGTACAATTGGCATGGTCCAGATGACAATTCAATATGCATCCAGTGTATAAAGCCTATCATGTGTATAATTTATCCTGTATAATGCAATACCCGTGTATAACTAATTTCCTGTGAATAATTTAACCCGTATCGTGCTTATAACCCCCTATGTATCATTAATTTTCCCTTATATAATGTAATGCGTACCCAGTGTATAATGATAATATAATGCGAATCCTGTGCAAAATAACACTTTTATAATGTACCAATATAGGGTTTAATAGAAAAGAATTTTAATGTAATAAGTTGATGTGAAGTTAATGTAGTGTTAGGGTAAGGTATTAATTTGATATGTAGTATATAATGCAATGTGTAAATCATGTATCGTAATATATAATGTAATATGAAATGTAATATAAAATGTGCAATATGAAATGTGGACGTGGTGCTGTACTGATTAACCCAAATGGTAAAGGGACAGTGCCGACGTCCTCCGTCGCTTATCGCTTACCCCATTGGACTGACAAGCGAAATATCGCTACGCCTAAAAGTAAAGTCTTACGAAGGTTTTAAATAACATTTTTTATTTAATCTTCAATTGAACATATGGCACAACTGGTGAGTACATTAAAAACATCGCCAATCAAGTTTAAAAGTTTGGAATGATTTAAATTGCGCAATTTTAACGTCGGCTAGCAAATGGCTAAAGCCGGAATCTTGATTAGAAGAACTGGGCAATAGAATGTAAAGCTGCAAGCGTCGCTAGCATTCAAAACCCTTGCCTTAAATACTGTTAACTTCATTTGCATCCTCGTGAAGGCTAACGGAGAGAAGAAGTTATAGTAAAGATCGAAATCATAGGAATTGTTTAATTCGTTAAAATACCTTATAAGCGTTTAAAAATATTTAATCACCTAAGATCATTTTAATTACACATTTGCATGATTTCAAAATTTGAAGTTCAGGTTTTTATCATAGAATTCTGACTTCTGGTACTTGATAAGAAATCAGAAATTGATTGCTTTTCTGATTACCCCCCACTCCCCCCCCATGCTGACGCAGAAGAATGTTACCGAGATTCAAAAAGTGAAAGGCTGTTACATAAGAGCCTTTTGTCTCAGGTAATGAAGCACTTACCTAACAGTCAGAAATCAGATTTTAGATTTATCATAAAACGAAATTATATCTGTCTTGTTCATGAATTTTGCTTTTGTGTTACCTACGGTAAAATTCATAAAGAAATATTCATATAAATATATAACAAGCAGAAAATTCAGAAAGGAAAAGTCATGCTCTTTCTTCAAATTAAAAATCAGTGTGAAATATTATGCTCTAAATTCCTATAAGAAGATAACCTGCTCCATCAGCCCAAATGCCTTTTCCAAATACCCAAATTTAGTTATGGTCACAGCTTTCCTCTTGCATGACGGAATTCCATCAGCTCAGCCAATGAGGCGTGAACGGGAAGATATGTAATTAAATTACTTTTAAAAGGTCCACGAGGCGGGCTAACTTTTAGCTCTTCCATCGCGATGCATTTAAACGAAAGCATCCAATTACAACGACGGAGAATTCGATTAGATTAGATGACTTCTCCTCAAAAATGAATTCTTGGTCCATTAAATTATAATCAAATCCTAGGAATTGTCAATCAGCGGGTTCTTTGTGAAGTTATTTTTATGCACTCATTGAAGGTTCTCTGATTTCAAGTTAGATGCAATTTTAATCACGAGCCTTTTATATGAAATAATTAGAAATATTGAATAATATAAGCTCCACTTAAAACTTTAAAGAAATGGCTCAGCATTTATTTGAATAAGAAAATAGTTGTAGAGAGTTAATATTTTAGGAAGTCAAGGATATTGGGTTATGTAGATTTTATAACCAGGTACTTATCATGAAGTTCGGATCTAAAACACTAAGTACAAAAAGCAATGGTTGTTAAATAACAGATACCGATACCATTGGAATCCACCAGTGTTCAAGTCCCTAAAACAGGGAAGCATTGGGCGTTCGTCCAGGTTCGTGTTTCAACGTTCGAGCGAATAGTTGCTTGTATGCTCATAAATTTAAAATTTTAAAACGTAGGTTGCGTTAGCAAGAATGTAGACTTTCATGAGAAAAAACGTGTTAAGTCACGTTTTAACTGCAAATAATTAAGAAGTGTATTATTAGAAACGAGCACAAATGCTCTATTTGTGCATTATATATTTATAGGTTATATATTACCAACAAATATGAAAATGTATTCTCTGAAAAATCATTGCTCAACAATACTAGCAATAAATTATATTAGCATTGTTACTGACAACAAAAAATAACTTAAATAACCCCCATCCTATGGTCCTATAATTGGCTACCTCTGATATAAATAATTATAAATAAAACTAGGCAAAGCTAAATTAAATAAATGAACGTGAATGAAAAGTAAAATAAAATATTCCTAATTAAGTGTAAAATAAATATATCGCATTAAAAAATAACGGCTATATTTTTCACATTTGATATTAGAATTTACAAGTCTATTTAGTTAATTTCAACAAATAAAAGTCTTTCTTTTATGTATATAAATTAATCATATATTTGTCGAGGATGGTGAGAAAAGGTACAGAATATAATTATTTCATTATTTCCCCACGTCCACATCCTCCAAATGTGGGTTAAAGAAATTTAGTACAAATTTGGACAATCCATAAAAGTATATTTATAACTCAAAGATTCTGCACTATTTTGTTTTAATTTACTTCTGAAAACTTTTCACTAGAAACGGATGACCCAGTTTAAAAAGAAGGGGGAGGACAAGAAGTAGCGATGAAAAAAAAAAAAAAAGAGCTCTCACCCCACCGTACGCAAGACTTGTCGCCTGGGGCTTACAATCTATCAAAAAAGAAACCATATAAAAGAAAACGGTTCACTTTTTCACTCTTGACAAGCTTTGAGTCAAAAGACCCTATATTCAAATTACCCGCACCACGTGATGAATGTAATAAGTTCTTGCTTCCTGTGAACCCTTTAGGTACTTCCGTTTCGTCACAATGGTGCCCCGCTCCAAAAGGCGACAAACCCCCTTTTTTGGCTTTGGGCAGTGGCATCAGGGTGGAGGAGAAGCCTCCTAAAGACATGCATGCTTACATTTTGATGCCTTTTTTTAATACATGTAAAGCTATTTTTCTCTACTGCTATCAGAACGTAAACGTGGACAGCTAGTCTATCTTGCGTCTTACAATCTTCTGATAGATATATGTAGTACAAAAACGACATTTTTTATTTGCTTTCATTGCTATAGGGTTTCTGCATGCGCGTTCTCTTACAGCCTATCTCGGGTGGAAAATATATACTTTCTTTTCGAAGAAGAAAACCATAAGAAAAAAAGATGTCACGTCGAGGCATACAGGAAAGCTTGATATTTCGTGTTTACATAAGGTTTGACTATTTCCTTCCATTTATATATACTTTTTTCTTTGCGTATAAAAATGGGAAGGGAAAGATCGTTTCTCCGGGGCTATTAGTCATGCATGCTTTGTTGGAAAAAGCAATTCATGGGCCATTTAAGGCGCACGTCTCTGTCGCTTTTTCGTGATTTAGAGAGGTGTGGACTGCACTGTGTGACAGTGTTCACCTTTTCAAATAGCCCTTTTATACGTACAGTGCGTGTTATGTACATCGAAAGGAGGGACGATATTAGTCTGAAATGTGGGAAAAAGGCTTCCGGTGGCGCATTAAATGTACGATGAGCACCCACTTCATGCCGTTTTACAAGAATATGCATGAAAGAGTTTGCAGTCGTATAATGTGATGCAAATTTTCAGTCTTGGGATGAGCTAGTGTATTGATTTGGTTTTCCATTTAAATTTAACACCTGCTTAACCATTGAATCTTTGCTTCAACTAAGCATTTTTTGGATTGAGAGTGATGGCAAATTTTCTCACTTTTGTCCTTCATCCTGTAATAGTGATTGATTGGTTATAATATTGCAGATTCCTTTTATTTGAAAGTGTAAGTTTCGAATAAATTTTAAAAAGTGTGCTTCCAAAGGGGGCCCGAAGGTAGC